ACACTCATCTGATCTCCTCAGTGAAGCCAGCTACTCCTGAAGCAGTCAGCAGTTGACAAGATTGAGAGATGCAGGCCAAGGTTACACATACACTCTAGAGCTGTGAAACAACTCTTCTTTCTGCTACAAGCTGAGCCCAAGAAGGGTCAAAAGTACCAAATAAATTTCTGCAAGAGGTGGATATTGCAGCCTCCATACAAGGAGCAACTTCAAGAAAGATCTTAAACAGAGTACTTCTATGAGCAAAATTTTATCCTAAAATTCTACATGTACAGTATCTGGCTGCCAGAGATCTCTGGAACTTCATGAAGGCAAATACCAAGTATAATTTTCGGAAAGTATTTGTAGCAAAGGATGTTGAAATAATCCCCCTTAACCCCCCAATCCTCCCACACACACACACACATACACACATTATCAGTGCTAGAATTATGTCTATGAATGCCTAAGTTGCTAGTAAAATTGTCTGCTTAAAGGATTGTTGTGGGCAGACTGCATAGTTTCCAGATTTATAGTAGTCTATGAACTAAAGGAATGACCACTGTTCTCCTGGTAGAAGGAAGAACCAGGAGACACAGAGGAGTCAACATAACAGATTCAGTCTGCTCTGGTTCTCTGCTTCTGACAACACACAAAACGGGCTGGCTGTGTTTGGGGCATTACTCACCCAATATGTGCTCCACAGGAAGAGGAAATGATGTGTGCTACCTTCCAGAGGCTACCCACTCATGTCTTCCACCCACTTCAGTGGCCTCATCTAAAATTAGCACAAATACACCACCCAACAACCCAGAATCCAGTCTTTTCTCTGATCCAGGAGACAGGGTAGGATGGTCAAAGTATTGTATGAGGGACTCAGGAACTATAACACAGAAACAATCAGATCCTAACTTCACAATACTTTTCCATCAAATTGATTGAAGAACTCAAAATCACTTATCTCACTTGGTCATCTTTCCTTCTTAGCATAGATCATTTTCTGTGAAGTTTGCCTTTCAAGTAACATTTTACGACATAAGTTTCAAAAACGTGCATTTATCATTTGTAGAACACATTAACTTCCACTGTCTATATAAAATTCTAGGAAACTTAACATGGGCCTCTGCCCAAGAGATTCACAGAATCCAGAGGAGACAGGAACCGGTCACCTGCGAGTTAGCTGAAATACCTGGACAGTATCCCACTAAACTCCCAATGACTGGCTATACTTGCAGCATTTATTAATGTACTTACTCACTCCAGAATCCTCAACAATATATGGGTCACTCAATAATCTCTTTATTCCAGGTCTCTAGAGCCCCAAAGCCAGAGATTACCCAAAGCAGGCCAGTGAAGTCTGCAGTGTTGAGTTGCGTTCTTGTTAACACAGAAAACCGTATGTATGGCTCCCGTGAATTTCCACTTGCAACTTCAAGGCTCAAGATTAGTGCATGCCAGCTTAAGGCCAACTGGAGATCAGTTTAAACAGAAAAGCAGAGTTGACATTTGCTCTAGAAGAATTCACTCAGAGCTTTGATATTTCAGATAAACTGGTGAAAAGCTAAGGGGTAAGTATACTTCGCAAGAAAATACAGCAGGTGCTCACAAAACCCTGTGGAGCACAGGGACATATTCAGTGAAAATGCTTCATCTTTCTATCCCTAGCAGCTTATTTTAGACGTGGAGAGAAGGGAAAGGCAAGAGTGGCTTTTATTCCAACTCACGAATTGTCTCAAATTCCAAGTTGGAATCAGGTATAAAGACACAGGTTATTTTATTATGATAGTGGAAAATTATCAATTGCTAAGGGTAAAGAGGAGAAAAATAAGACCATATAAATACCATGAAAATAATACCTGGTGGGTGAAAAGAAACTTTAATCCTAAAATGCTAACTATGTTTTTTAATTGAGTGCTGCTGCGGACCTCAACAAGAAATATCTGGAAAAACATAATCTATTAATAAACACAGCCTAGTCACTGAAAAGCTTTCAGTTGCTAAATGTTACTCTTTGTGTATTAAATGAATTATTCTCCTTATCAATGGAACACAGAATTGGCTTTCCAGCAGTGATTGAGTCTGCTGAATCTCTGTACACTCTCGTTTCTTATGATGACATAAATGTCAGACAACTGAGCAAATTTGGAAAGTTTCTTCAGTCAACTTGAATTTATCTAGCCGCCACTCAAACCTGAAGTTTGCCTTTCATCGGCACACATTAATCAACTGAGCTAAAAACAGTGGCTCACTTATGATCCTGAGATTGTTACTTACCCTTCCCCATTCCTGGGAGGGGAAACGAGCTATTTCAAGCTAAGAAACTATAAAGATTAGCTGAAAAATGCAAAATGCCTACACACACACAAAGTCAGCACATAGGTAATCAGTTACAGAACTCAGGAGTACTATTTCCGAGACCACATCCCATTGGGGTAACCCGTGGGATCACAATATTCTCTTATTTTAATAAACCTTCCATTCATGTTAGTTTACTCCTTTGAACAGCTCTAGTTACTAGTCACATACCACTAAACAGTGCCAAGGAAACATTGTCTTACATGCATTATGCTAAATTCTCACCAGTCGTGCTTGATACTAAGTATCAAGCTGCATTATCCAGATACACTGAACAAGGAAAGACAATCCAAAGTAACTTGTGAAGGGCCACACAGCTAGTGGGAATAAGTCAGGTCAAACCCAGAGAAGCCTGATTCCAAGGCACCTGCTCATTCTACCTCACTACACATCACTTCCAAAGAATCTTAGAATATTAGATGAAGAAGGACTCCTATTAACGTTCTACCTCACTACACATCACTTCCAAAGAATCTTAGAATATTAAATGAAGAAGGACTCTTATTATAATACTGGGTGCCACTTACTGAAGTCTGCAACATGCCATGTGTTACCACCATGAAGAGAAGTGATATTATTCACCTTTATAAATAAGGAAATCGAATCAGAGAAGTGACTTGTCCAAGGCTGCAAGTTAATAAATGCCTGATCTGACATTTAAATGGGGATCTATTTAACTTCAAGTTTATCTTCTTTTGACCATAACCTCAAAAAAATCAGAAGGACCTGAGTATTCAACAGTGGCCTGAGAGGCCACTTTTAGAGGAAACGGCCAGGGGCTACATAAGGCTATTAGAAACTTCCCTGTCAGTAAAGATAAGATTCACAGATATTACAGATAGACTAAAGTCCCCCTAATTTTGCAGATGAGAAAACTTAGGCTCAGAGAGATTACAAATCATCCTTGCAAAAGAAGAATTTGAAGCAAGTGAAAAGGCGTTCCAGGTAAAGGATATATTCTCAAGCAAAGCAAAGCATAGAGGTCAAAATGACCTGGTGCATTACTGAATTGGAACAACTGATAAAGTGTACTCTGTGAGAAATTTTTTTAAAAAACTTAAAACCTGTCAAATTGAATGACGAAAGGATATAACTTCCTTTCGAAAAACAAAACTTCTTAACAACAGTTTTTACACAATCTCTCCATGTTAAACTAATTCTCGTCCCTGTTGTCATTACTAACCCTATTTAATCTGACCTAGTATTTTACTTGCATTTCTGTTCTATGGTCAAATTCTCTCTTAACGTTGCTGGCTGCCAACGTTGCTTGGCCACGAATGTGAGAGCATGAATGTACACATTTTCTAACCATTGTCCTCTCACCCAAAACTTATCTGGCTTTTTCTTTTTCACCCTCTGGTACAGAATACTCAAGATCCAAAGATTAAACAAAGCTCTGCATAAAACTTAAGTGTTTAAGTTCATTTTTATTTTACTCCAAAGAGTAGCAACTAAGCCACACCACCACCACGTATGCAGCCTCAGACATTTTATTACAAAATGTGGTACTACAATGAGTAAGATCAAAAGAAATGCTGGTCACAGACCAAAAATTGAGTTCAACAGTCTGAGTTTCTATAAAGAAAACTTTAATAAAATTTCTCAAGGTAACAATTGCAGAGTATAAAGTTTTTAAACACTTCAAATATTTAAGTTTTATTTTCTAGTAACAAATGCTAAAAATGATGTACATTTAATTTATTTCTGCGGCTTGTATTAATAACAGAGGAAGAAAAATATAAAATATTATCAAGCTTTCTGAATTCAAATTGCTTTATTTACTAGGTTCAGGCATCAGACTTCCAAAAATGTGAGGCTCCAAATTCAGGTGCAGCGCAGTGTGTTAATGAAGTTAGTGCTGGTATACTGACACCCTAGAGAAAAATCAAGTTTTCAGTTTATGTATCAAGTACATGCAGAGGGCATTTAAAAAAGAAGAAGTCTGGTCAGACTTACTATGTCTCCAGTGGTCTGCAAATCTGCAAAGCTGTCTCAGGCCCTATCAGGCTGGCAGACACTAGTCCTGAGGCAACGGGCCCTAATCCAAAACTCAGGGACCCAGGTCACAGGGGAGGTGCCTGGGAAAGACTAGATGTCAAGTGAAAGTGAAGGAGGGAGAAGCCAGAGGTTACTCCAGGCAGGCCAAAAAAGTATAGGGAGCATGCTTGCATGTGTCCGTGTGTGCGCGTTGAGAAATGGGGAGTATCAGAGGGAAGGCACTGGTAATAGAGAGTAAAGGGTCCCTTAAAATGCCAATTCACCCCGAGAGGCAAGGGGGCAATGCAAAAGCACGGTTAGGATCTTGAACCCAGGAGAAGGCAAGCCCCATTTCACAGATGGGTTCGACGAGGCAGTGGCTTCAAGTGAAGCCCTACGACTGGCAAGCGAGAGACTCCAGACTAGACGGTGAGCCCCTACATCTAGCTCACCTGGGTTCCCCGCCCACCCACCCCCGGCAGAGCGCTCAGCATGTGGCACTTAGAAAACCTCTCTGAATGAACGTCCCAAATCTTGCAACTTCAAGCTTCTTTGCAGAGAACTCGGCTTCGGGCCGGGCAACACTCGGAGTCAAGACGGGGGACACGGGGCCGAGCGGGTCCCGCAGAGGTCGGAGGTTTGGGGTCCGAGTCCAAGTGCTGGCCCGCCGCCCGCCCACTGTCACTCACCCGGATGCCCTTCACCACCGTGATGTTCTCATTCTCGTCCGCCTCGAAGGTGACCCGGCGGGTGCTGGCGGTCCCGCCCATGGCTCCCGCTTCAGCCCCCACGGAGACCTAGTGCCGACCCACGAGCTCTTCAAGCCCCACGCGCACGCACGCGCGTGGACGTGCCTGGGATTTTTCCCTTGCACGGCGGGAGCAAGGCCACGACCCCAAGAAGCAAGGAGAAGGCGCCGGTGTTCAGAGCCCACCTCCTCCGGTTACGCGCCACAATAAAAAAGCCTGTGGTTGGTCAGAAATAAGAACAGCCCGCCTCTACTCGAAGGACATTTTCTGATTGGCTAGTTCGGACCCGGATGCTATGGCAACAGGTGGTGTTTGACAAGGCTTCCGGAGCCCCTGAGTTTATTGGGAGTTGTAGTCTCCATCTGGCGCGATGGGTGATGGGACATTTTCGTCTAGATCCAGAGAGCGCAAGGGAAGCTTGCATTCTGGGAGTTGTGGTTTTTGTGGGAACCCGGAAGGCTTCTTACTTGGCGACCTTCAACAAAGTTCATTCATTTGACAAAGATAAATGAATTTAGCAATTTAGAAAGTATGCTTATGCGTTAAAAGAGCTACTCACGTTTTAATAAAAGACATGTACTCTCCTAGTGAAGCCATTCCTAGATTCCAAAAAACAAATCCCTGGAGCAAAATTTAGCATTTCTTAGACATTAAAAAAAAAAATCCCTATGTAGCATAATGTTATCTTATGAACGATACTTATATCCTTTTGTAAAGCAAAATTTAAAATTATGGTTTTCAAATCTGCACGTGAAGAAAGAGAAAATAAAAATAAATCATTTGCATCAAGAATGCCTTGACTTTCTCACGCCTCCTCCCACTTCATTTATATAAACTAGTTAGAACCCTTATACCTGAGGCAGAGAAAACCAGTGGAGGAATTAAAACTACATAAGACAAAGTTGGCAGTCTACAAGACTCAAAGTTGGACTCTACAAGACCAGAACTTAAGGTTCAAGTTATCCATATACATATTTAAAATGTATCCTTTGCTAAATATTTTGTGACAAAAAGCTTAAAACATTGGTCACACAGAGGCAGATTTACTCTTTTTAGACACTAGGCAGATTGTGGTACTGTACGGTAGTTCCTTTGAACATTCACAGCATGACATTCCAAAAAATGTGGTTTCAATTTTGAGCTATAGTTATGTGCTGATTTATTACTATATGAATCCTTAGAGGCAAGATTTTTTCATCTCTCTCTACCCTTAGTAGCAGAACATTGACTTTATATGTTATCAACATCTATGTATCCAAATTATACTATCCTACTTTATAGTTTTGAGACTGTGTGTTACCTTATACTTATTATCAAGTTGTGTAGCGTTAAACCTTCCTTTTACAAAGAACTGAAAATCCCAGGAATGATGACTTTTGTTTCTTTGGGACACACCATTCATAAACACAGCCTTCTCACTTATTACCTCAAATATTGGAGTTTCTACGTAAAACAGATTCTCGGTAAATAATATTTACAAAAATAAGTAATTACAAAGAAAGGTTTTCTTGGAGAGACTAGAGAAATGAAGACACTAAAGATGGTGAAGTTTAGGCCTAAGAAGTCAGTATGGTGCCATCACTTTTTATGCTAAGAAAACACAAAAACGGTCTTAACAGATAATGTAGAAATGCTTTAGAATTTATAATATATTATTACCAACATCACAAAGAAATCTTATGGACAAACAAAAGAGAGAGAGACCTTACTGAGAAAATACCAACTATTATATTCCTGTTCTACCCATATCAGTTTCAAAGCCAGGCCACAGCAACAGAACCTTCTGAAGAAAATGTCTTGAAATAACACAAAATTATCTTTCTCTGGCCAGAGTTTATTAACAAACCCTATGGCAGCATTTATTAGCCAGCCACTTATAAGCTAGAAAGCATAGCTTTTCCTAAACAGAAATAATAGCTAACACTCTAACCATTCATATTTTTTCTCTTTTCTCTCTCTATTACTTTCTCCACTTTAAAACTGAAAAACAAATCATCCAAAAGTATAGTGAAGATAGAAACTATGGTACTGAATTAGTACCATAAGCTATCACAGCAAACTCATGATATGTAGAAATAGAAGCTTTTGCCCACAAAATTTCATATTTCAACAAGCAACCCAGTCTCCTAAATAACAGCATTGCTAGGGAAAGAAGCATGCACAGGTCTCATCCCATAAGGAAGCCCAGAGTAACACATTTCATCATGCCCATATGGGACTACAAAGAGTGTAACAGCAGCCAGTTCCTTTCCAGTTTCCACTATTGTCAACCCAGTGCCTCTTCTATTTCTTTCCAAGGAGTCTGAGTTCAACTTGGATGTGATTGAAGTCCCTCTGCTGAACACCTCTGGGTTCTTCACCGTAATAATACAACTCTTTAGGGAGATGTTGACATTGTCTGGGATATCCACAGTCTGGTTGCTGAAATTGTCTTCCTTCTCACAAAAGATGTAGCAAAGAGCTTGATCCTGACTTTAAACAAAAACTTACTGAAGGCAAAATCCTGGGGATTACTCTCCCACTACTCCCCTTTCTGCCCCTCTTATCCCTCCCCCATCTCTTGACTGTGTTTGTTCTGCTGGTTGGGAGTGAGGGAAGGAGGAGAGGTAAAAGAACATGACAAAACACGGTAGGAGCCAGGGAGCAGAGATCTGACTCTGGTCCCTAGTGTGAAATGCTAATCAATATATTGTGCATGGGCCATTCCCCAGCTTTTCTGAGCAAGTCAGCTACTCCGTGGAGCAGTCTGATCCTATGACCTGTGCTGAAATACAATATAGATATAACGATCATGCTTTCTGAGCTAAAAAATGAAGCACATGCTTTGACTATTATTTGTGTACTTATAGAGACAATTAAATCAGTCCTTGAAGTCAGAATCATCCTAGCAAATCTAGGACATATAGTTGCCATAGTTATAGCAAACCAATTAAAATCAATGAAAAGTACTTCATAGGTTACTGCAGACAATCAATACAGAGAACAAATATAAAGAACATTCTGAAAATGTGAACTAGCCTAAACAGGACAACAGACTTAAAGCTCTCACCATCAGTTATTATATGTAGAATGATAGGAAAACAATGAAGTCCTAAAACAGCAGTTTTTAGCAGTTGTGTATATTCTGTATGTGCAAGTGCTTAGATGACATCTTTTAAATGCAAGAATTTTAGGCACCAGATTTGAAGAGATTTAAAAAAAAAAACACTAAGATAACATGAAACAAGTCAGCAATAATTACAAACACCTACCTATACAGTATATAACAATGTCTCAGTGTCTTTAAATTTTTCCACAGTAGTGGCATAAGTCACGTGGTCTCACCTTAGTCTCCCACTGTCCTGCCCAAGCATCAAGTCAAATCAAGAGGCAGAGATTTCTTAGATTTCAGGGACCTCTCCATCTACCTTTGACTATAATTAATAGTACTCTTCGAAACTAAGTTCTTCTTCATTATAAATGTATATACCACTTTCTGTCTTAGATAAGATCTGCTGATCATTCTACTTACTAGTCATCCCTTAACCCCAGATGGCTCAAAAAAAAATCCTTACACATGGGTTATAACTTGGCAATGCACCAAGAAGATGTCTTCATTCCTCTGGCATCAAGTGTATTCCAGAGAAAATCACCAAATCTGTAGCAGTTTCCTAGAAGGCCATCTCTACCATTTCCTTTTCTGTTTTATTTTCATTTTTCTGTTTTTCCTCTGATACCTCATTTCTTTCTTTTTAAGATTTATCTTATTTATTTTTGCATATAAGAGCTGGGATGCAGGCCAGCGTATTGGGGGTGCGTAGGAGGAGGATGAGAGGATTCACCAGAGACAGAGTGGGGAACAGAAGAGGCAGATCTACTGAAATACACTGCTGAGGGGAGCAGCAGGCAAGACAGGAGAAGTCTGCTGCACCATGTGGGTTAACTCGCTGGCTTGGGGTCAGTCTCATGCTGCAGTGGCTGTGGTAGCTTCTTAATGTCACCAGGGAGGCCCTGATACCTCATTTCTTTACTGATCAGCAGGCATTCATCAAAATACAGCAGCCACAAAGCTGAGCATTGGTAGCGTCTTGGAAGGATAGACATTCACAAGTGGGAAAGCTCACCCAGAGCATGAGAGACCAATCAAGCCAAAGTCAATCCTATCACATCCAACCTCGAACCCTGCAAGAGTCCCAAGGCCCTGTGATTTCTTTTGAATAGGATTTGGAATGATCATCTCTGACAAACAGAGCCCAAGTCAAAAGAGGCTCATTTCTCACCTCAGATCCTTAAACAGGCACAAACACCCCATCTATCATCTCTCCCCTGAATGGCTCTTCTGGCCTTGATGAATTTTCAAGCCATTTTTATTTGAGAGCACTGGGACATTCTCCTAACCTTTTAACAATATCTACCTGTCATGGATGTTGAGAAATTTCTGAAATGCAGGCTGTTAGCCTCTTTACTTCCAAATAACAAATGCTTGAAATGTATCAAGGTTATATGAGTACTTTGCCGTGAGATTGGGCAGGCAGGGAGAAGCCTGTTTGTTGATGCTAATAACATAGATATGTCCATAAGTGTACCTTCTCCCTGTTTGGCCCCACCAAGTGCCAGCTCAGGGAGAGACCTAAGGAGATGGCACCTTGTGAGCACTGTAACGCCATCAGACTCTATTGTACTCACTTGTTCCAAGGCACAGTGTAGCCCAACCTTCAACCTGGACCAAGAATCTGGACAATGCAATTCCCTTACTAGGAGTCATGGGACTTTCAATGGAAATGACTTTCAAAACCACCTAATCTTCCCCTTTATTTCACAGATGAAAGAGCTCAAACCAGGAAAGGCTGAATGAGTTACTCAAACCACAAGGCATTGTGTTACTAGAGCCTGGGGAGAGCCCAGATCTCCCACCATTCAGTCTAAAACTTGTCACTCTCTTGTGAGAAACTGCTGTCAATGGGCCCAACCTGTCAAGGTCTTTGCCTCATGTGAGACAGTGCAGCAGCTGCTGGAACCATGACAAACATGGTAAAGTGAAAAGGGAGAGGGAGAGTAGATAGCTGTGAAGTGATGATGCAGGTAATCAGCCTAGAGGTGGCTCAGGCCTGGCATGAATAAATTAACCCTTCCCTTTGATACTGGAAACTTTATCAATTCATTTGCTAATCATGCGTTAGCTAATGA